TGTTGGTGAGTGGATCGCTGCGCTCCCGGCCTGCTGGGCGAGCTGACGAGGACGCTTCCCGGAGCCAGCCTTTGCACGACGCCACCCATGTTCCACGTTCCGCGCCTCTGCCCTGCTGACCCCTCAAAAGTAAGTCGTGTTCAATGTGAACAATCGGATCAATTAGCCTGCACATTGCCGAGTCCGTCGGTACCAAGTTTGTGGCGGTCGGGCCCATAGTACCGCCCCCAACACATGGACCTCCTCATGGACCATGCCGGCCGCCACAGCACACTCTCCATTAGACAGCTCTAAACCATAAACACTACCACTGGCATTTGATTCTCATTTACCTTGCAAGTAGTGTCCACTATCACCAATGTAGGGTACTGCCATGTGGTTTTCTTCTTTGAAGATGTTTGCGAGAGGAGGAATTCCAACAAGCCGTTGTCATTTTGAACCAAGTGAATTGTAGATGTTGGGTCTCTGTCGGATAGTTGTTGCAAAGAATCAAGTAGCTTTTCTTCCTCATTGAAGCCTCCCGTCTCCTCACTTCTCATCAAGGCTCTAAAACACAAAATTAGATTACAAGAGCATTATGTACAGCTCGCTAAAAGCATACCACATGGTAGAAGCCTCGGATTAGAGATGTCTCAAGCCGTAAGCTTTTTAGAGCTTTCATCTGCAAGCAGCATTTGAATGTGGGTGGGTTTCACCTTCAATTCCATATTGATAGTGGGCTAGAGAGTGGGCCTGAGCTGAAGAGAAACGCTTTGCTCTGGCTCTCTTCTTAGGGTATGGGGTTTGACTGAGTTTACTTCACAACATTTGATTCATAACAGACAATAAAAGGTTTATTCATACGATGGCTCGCACTTACAGTTTTCCTTCTCCTTGTTCCAGCATCCTTCATGGGTCTGCTTGCAGTCGATTCTCGTTGGGAATGGCCCAGAGCCCAGCCAATATTGAAAATGGGATGGACAGTGGACCTGAGCCTGAGCGATATAAGAAAAGTAAGTGAATTGGTACATCTTTATGACCTCAAAATCAGAACTACATAGTAGAAATTTTAAAGGAGCTTAATATGTAAAGATTAGTTTAATGCTCAGAGATTTAAACACAAATATTGAATTCTAAGACTTGATGAAAATAAATAGTGCCATTCTAAGCAAAATTGTGACCGTTCTTTACATGAAATTGTACTCACCGTGTAAAACGATCCAAGCATTGTAGTCTGACGATGGAAGTTTGCCCTCAGTACAGAGGGATCATCCTCATCATCAATCTCCAAAGGAAAAATAAACATCTACATCAATTGAATTTGTGCTTTAAAATATGAAATCCTATTCCTATCCCATCTTATAAGGACAACAGACTCTTGCTCTTCTTCTTTTGATGGGAATCATCTAAGAAGAATAGAAATACAGATTAAATATACAGTATACAATAAAACTTATCTATGGACTTCAATAATCTTAGTTTAGCATGAGTCAAGGAAGTTTCAAAATTAAATCTTGCTATCAATACCTGCATTGTGGATATTGAGAAACAGAAGATTCTGCACCAAAGCTATTATTAGTTGTTCTCACGCGCTTTCCACGTCAATTGCCAGCCAATTCAAATCCATCTACCCAAACAACTCCGATTGTCGGGGGTGGCGTGGCGTGGTGAGTGGAGAGAACATACACCGGTAATGTGTCAAAATGTGTATTTCATGAGTGAGTTTTCACGATAACACTTTACAAAATTGATTCAATATATCAAAAAAGAAAGTCCGATAAGGCCACAGGATTGTGCTCTTAATAGTAATAAGTAGAAAAAATACTGAGAAAATCTAGAACTGTGTCTGTGCACACTAACAAAATAGGTTTTTGAAACTACCATGTTTCTTCAACACAACATAGACACCAGTACACATTCCCTCAACCAGGCAACTGCATTACAAGCAAAATATCAGTGAAAAATACTAACAGTTGAAATGCTGTTCCTCTCTTACTATATCTAAATCACAGAACCAGAGGAAGTTAATGGACATATTCTGTGTGTTTCTTTTATAAAACTAAATGGAACTTGGACCCATACATGCTAGACGGAGTGATTTAATTTTAAAACACACAGGAATTACTTGAGGAAATATGACAAGGGCAGCAATACAAAATCACTATAAAACAGATCTGCCTTCATCAAAAAATTTAAAAAAAGCACACAGAACTTTGACATTCAATTTGAGTACAGGATACATTAAGTTAAGCATCTATTAGGTGTTCAAAGAACACGGTGATACCAAACCAACAGAATAAGACAAGTTTAGGGTAAAAAAGGTAACTTATTTCACCATAAATGCAACATGTGTAGAATATCGGCTATATAATATGTTAAAATACAGACCTGAGCGCAAGAGTAAAATATATGGAGTGAATTGTTGAAATTGGTGTTCACACATGTGAGGTGACATGCAATTTCAAGATAGTTGATACAATTATATATATATATTATAATGGAAGTAACACTCAATGCCAGAGGACAACATAAAATTTTCATATACTAGATGCAAAGTGACAACTTAACTCACATCTGGGTTCACACACTGTTTGATCTGAGTACTATTAAGAATTGCAGAACATTCCATTGGTGAGGCAGTAGTTAAAATGACATATCATTTTAAGACAAAGAGAATTCAGAAGAAGCCTGTTGCAAGACTTTCGAGGCAGCTTCTACTTCAGCTGGGGTAAGATCAACATTTACAGTGATACGAAGAGAAGGAGTACGAGGACGAGCTTCCATGTGATCCAAGTATGATGCTGGTATAATGGCAACTCCATTCTTGATACACTAAAATATAAGACAAGAAACCATTTAGATACAAAACAAACTAGACTTTACCAATGCATTTCTGAAGACTGTCTTACATATTGAGATATACTATGCAGAAGTGAGCGATGTTTCTCAGCATCCTGAGGTGGGTTGGTCAGGTACAGATGTTTCACTGGACTTTGAATATCACCAGACATACTATAACCAAATTCTGATAAGTTTGCCAAAGCATCATGGACAAGCTGACACTGTTTGTGAAGAACAGTAATGAGTTCAGGATTTTTTTCTATTTCTTCCAGAGATGCCATGGCAGCTGAAGTAAGCAACGGAGGGAGGGATGCAGAGAAACAGTATCCTGAAACATTCAGAAGGAATCATAGTTTCAGTTTCACCATACATAGCTTATAAAATGAATTTTTCACGAGAACAAAGAGGCATACCAAGTCCTGACAAACGCTGATGTTCAACAATGAAAGAAGAGCCCACACAAAATCCACCAATGGAACCAAGTGCCCATTCCATGCTACCAACAATCAGATCAACATCTGCTCTCTGCAAATTATAAATAACAGGGGTTACAAAGCAGAAGGCACATGAAAGGCAAGGAAATTTTAGGGATGGAAAAGAATATCTTACATTGATATTGTAGAACTCTGTGACACCTCGGCCAGTTTCACCTAAAGTGCCAAATGACACATTTTCATCAAGAATAGTACGGCACTTAAAGCGGTGTGCTAATTCCAGGAGTGCAGGTAGAGGACAGATTTTCCCAGTGTTCATATATATTCCTTCAATAACCAAGAATCGCCTCGTGACCTTAGCCTTTCGGGGATTCTGAATTTAACAAAAAGACGGGAATTATTATTATTAACTCATTACTCATAAAAAATATTACTATTCCTGTAAAAATTTAAAGCGAAGGTTTTCCTAATCCACTTTGCATTACCTTTCCTGCTTCAGCTTCAAATTCCAGCATCAATTTCTCCAAATCTTCTACATCATTGTGTTTAAAATAGCAAATCCTACTCCTGGATGCATCCAAGCCTTTCTGAATTGCAAAGTTCACCTGCTCATCACTAGGAAGACAAACAAAACAGGTCAAACTTGTCAAAAAAAAAAAAAAAAAAAAAAAAAAAAAAAAGGTCTTTGGGACTGTCTTTAATTAAAACTTACACAAAAATTATGTCGTTGCGCTTAGCATATGCTGGTATGGCACTTGCAACAGTGGAAAATCCATAAGCATAAACACAAGCTTCTTCCATTCCCATAAACTTTGCCAATTTTTCTTCTAGTTCCAAATGTACATCTGCATACAAATAGATTCACAGATTAGCATGATGAAGTTCGTGACACAATCAAATTTAAACATGTAGCTTAACTGTTTTAAATTTCCTTCACAAAATTGATGGTAAACTCACCAACAGTTCCATAGAAACCACGGGGGCCACAAGATCCAACTCCATACTTGCGTATACTTTGAATTGCACATTCTTCAACCTGAGGTTTGTCTACAAAACTTAAATAATTGTGTGTAGCAAGATTCAAGCACGGCTTTCCATCAACATCAATATAATGGCCTGCCTATAAGTTCAAAGAAATATATTGCAGATAAACTATGTTTAAATTTTGCAGTGAAATTTAACCAAAAAGATTTGCAGTATTGCAATAGTAATTTTACCTTTCCCGTTACAACATGAGGCTTCAAGGCAGGGTGATCTTGCGGAGTACTCTTCACGAGTGGTTCTGGTGTCCACTCAGATATAATTTTATCCTCCTCCTAGGAGGACGAAAAAGTATGTAGCTGTGTGTACAGGAGCGACTAAAATAAAACATGGATAAAACTATTTACCTCTTTTGACAAGGAATGTCTGTGGTGAGATTTATAACTTTTCCGGAAGATGAACCAGATCAGCCATGCCACCAGGAAACCCTCCAAGACAAAGTGCAAAAGCGAAGCCTGAAAAGAGATTCATACACCACTTTTAGACTGGTCGTTTAATCAATAAATAAACATAATATCAGTAAAAGTTTGAATGTTACTCACGTCCTTGATGTCTCCCAGGAAGCCATTGATACTAGTTGGTAACCAGTAACTGCCCATTGCTTAAAACGTTCTAATTACAACAGCAAAGGGCGTGTCGACTTGCTAGAGTTCACAGTTTATCTAGGTTGGCGGACGCCCTTATCTTAAAGTACCTCTAGAAATGACTCAGTGATGCACCCTCGCTGCAAACTTCAAGTACTGGAAATTTTATTTGAAGTTTTCCTATCTTAAATATCAAACAAACCTGACAATAACTGTAACGAGGAAAGACTAGACACAAAACACTAACCGCTCTTCTGTGGCCTGGGGTTTGGAACGAACAGGAAAACAGACGATATTCCTCCTCGTCGCCGTCGCGGCCTTGCAATACCGTGACGCGTGCGACCACCATTAGTCGGCTGCTTGGGCTGGGAAAACACACTGAGACAACGTGGTTTTACAGCAAAGGTCGAGCAGGTTTGAGTGAATGCCGACATGGAGAGGAAAAAGATTGAGTATTTGGTCGTTGACACCGGTGCTTTTCTGAAAAACGCTTCGATTCAGGTAAAATTTTACAATATGAGTTATTTGGCTTCGTAGTGTATGGTGGACGTTAAGGTTATGTTTAGGTTATACGTTCTGATTTACCTTACGTCGATCTACATTTCATGATGAATTGAATTGAGATGTTTTTCTATTGATAAAGTTTGACATTCCATACAGGATCTTGGTGAGAATGTTGTCACATGTCAGGAGGTAGTTAATGAAGTGACAAACAGCAGACAACTCCGTCGACTTGTAGTTCTACCTTTTGAGCTTCAAGTCAAGGAAGTGTTTCCTGAAAATGTGCAATTTGGTATGTTTCGCAATTAAACCATTGCATTTAAATTTCAGCTAAATTTGATCCTATTTTTCAAAATTTTCTCTTCATTGTTTATGCAGTCACCGAGTTTGCAAAGAAAACGGGAGACTATCCAAGTTTGTCAGCTACTGATATAAAGGTCATAGCTCTGACATACCAACTCGAAAAGGAGAAAGTGGGTACTGACCACCTAAAGAAAGCACCTGAGGCACAGCGCACAATTACATTCCAAAACCGACCCGTCGTTGATCCCAAAGACGTTGCTGGATTTTATATTCCTTCCAAGGTACATGTTGGTTTGGGTCCTTCAAACATTTCTGTATCATGTTTCTACCTTTTAAAACTGATTTTTTTGTTTTTGTTTAGGGAATGGATGGTGAAAACATTGAAGGTGATGAAGAATCTACATGTACTCTGAGTGAAAAGCTTTCTGGTTTGGACTGCAAAGATAGTTCCAGTGAAGTTGAGAAGACCAATGCTGCAGATTCGACAACTGTTCCAGAAAACATTGCAGTATATGATGATGAAGAGGATGAGGAGGAAGATAATAGCTGTATTGACAATGAAAATGATGAAAAAAATGAACTAAATGAGCAACAGGTTGTAGAGGATATAGACCCAACAACAGTGCTTGTTAAAGTAGAAAATACTTCATCCCCATTACAAACCAACAACAGCAGTGAAGAGGAAGCTATTGAAAGTGAAGAGGAAGATGAGGAAAACTCCGATAATTGTGATGATGATAGCGATGAAGGTGGATGGATCACTCCTAACAACATTAACCAAGCCAAGAAGCAGATGAATGCCCAGTTTGAGGAGGAAAAAGATGTAACAGTTGCCTGTATAACAACTGATTTTGCCATGCAGGTTTGTAGTCAGAAAACTTGAATATGTTTTTGTTAGTAGTTTCCTACTATTTTGTAAGATCAACTTTATGCTGTTCCTCTCTTTTAGAACGTGTTGAAGCAAATTGGTCTACATGTGTCATCAGTCGATGGGTTTGTCATAAAACAACTACGTACTTTTATCCTTCGGTGCTATGCTTGCTTTAAGACAACTAGTATCATGACTAAAGCATTTTGTCCCCACTGTGGTCATAAAACGCTTAAGCGTGTGGCAGTATCTGTTGAACCAGATGGTTCTCAAAAAATACATATAAATTTGAAGAAACCTCTTACAACCAAAGGAAAAGGGGTAATCTCATCTTTGGATGCATCAATTTTTCATCTTGGTTCGTTTACCAATATGGTTTTAGTAGTGATTTTCTTTTTTCCTCTTGCAGAGTTCAATTCCTACTTGGCAAGGGGGGAAACATGCAAACAATCCAATAATCTTTGCTGACCAACCAATGCCTGATCAAAGGCCATCCCGCATAGCTCGTACCAAGACAAACATACTAGATGTTGATTACATTCCAGGTGAGATATTTATACTGTACTATTAATTGGAGTTAAGATTTTCTGATTATTATTTACAACATTAATGTTGAACAGGGTACTCACCTTTTGCTATGCGTGACACTACTTCAAAATCTGCAATGCTTGGCATTCGAGGAAATCAGGATGTAAAACATTGGATGAGGAGGAATCCCAATGCCAAGAAGAAGAAGTGAACTTTCATATACTCATCTGTAAATTCATAAGCTTATAATTTAAACTGATTTGTATTTTGTTAATTTAATTATATTGTTAATGAAGACTTAAGTTCATATATTTTAATGAGTTACTCCCTAAACTCAAAATACACTCAAACAAGTCAAAACTGTATGAGCTAGGTCCAAAAATTAAAAATACCATAAACATGGTTTTTTGACGATATTTATTTTATCATTTTGTTATTACTGATATGAGAGACCAACTTATAAGTGTTCACAGGCTTTAGAATGACTGTGTAACTGTTGTCTCCATCTGTGTAGAAAACATGTGGTCTGGTGTTCCAACTTATTGGAATGTCAGCAAACCCTTGCACGTACATGCTGATCCATGGTATGCCATTTCGTTCTGAGAAGTATTCCCTGAAAATAAGAATGTGGTTTAGCAAAGCATCTAAGCATTTTAAGGTTTTAAAA